GGCCAGAACCTCCTCTCTCATTGGGACGGATGGGAAATTGAACCATTCGAGCAAATGGAGAAAAAGCAACCTTTCCTGAATCAGGTCAGCATCGCAGATCAAATTGTGCTCGATCTTGCACAGGATACTTTTGAGGGCGCGCTCCCTGATCTCCGCCAGCTGATGGCCTGTCAAAGAAGTTGGCACAAAGTAATTTCGTCTCCCAATTCTGAAGAGACGACCCACCCGTAACTTATTCTAAATGTGAGTGGTTTACTCTGGAGACAGTCCGGGGTGAAACAGCCGCGGGTGCGTTAGAACTAAGCCGCCGAGCATTACACAGTATGTGCAAGGTCCGCGGGCTGTTCTGGGCAAGCAGGGACTAGGAGCGGTGACCGCGGGAGACCCGAGGGTTCCTCCGACCCTGGGCAACGGAGACAGTTACCAAGCTTCCTGATGAGCCCCGACAGAACCATCTCGTCGCCACAATCGGCCGCCGCCGGAGAATTAAACAGTCGCGCCACAGCCTCCGGCCATAATTAATGTCCCCCGGAAACTCAACCGACAGGAACAGCGGTTCCGCGATGTCTAAACTAGACACCCCTTGAGTAAAGAGCATTAGGTGAGATGTTCTCAATGCTTACGTCACCACCTAACGTTACAATCTCTATAAGTCGCTACTTCTCATTCCCTAGATCGAAATCTTGACTCTAAGAAGTCAGAATGCATAAAGGCCTCAAGAGGCGGTAGAATCCTCTTCCGCCAACGTGCATGTCGGGAGTTGTAGTCCTAGGTCAGCCCTGCTCCTTGCAGGAGTTCCGGACACGCCCCATCGTTCCTTAATACAGAGTTCCGGCTTTCAGGCGCGGGCTCAGAAATGGGTACCTGGTCCCTGGCAGCAGCCCAAGACTCTGGTGTTCTCTTCTCCCTCCAAGAAGGATTTGTTCAGAACCTGACAATTTGAATGTTTAGCTTCTGGAGCGTGGGTTTTGTTTTGAAAAGTTACCCTTCCAACTCTCTCCCTGATTACAAACTGTAAAATATAACTGCAAAGTTCTGCAGCTCTGGGATACCTGACCTCAAGTATAAGCAAGCAAGGTACAAAAGGAGGAGTTGGGGAAGGAAGACCCTCGGAAAGCTCAGGCTTCCAGGAACTTAGTCCAGGGCAGCAGCCACCCCAATCACCAGGCTGAGACGAAAGCTGGATGCAAACTGCACGAGGCTTTATTTTTGTTTAACGAGCTAACCCCATGTTAGCTCGGGTCTTTCATCCACCCGCCATGGCGGATGACTAGCAAAAACAGTTCAAAGCAGCTGCATAGAGACCTATAGGGCAGCGTAAGGGGAGTGTCTAGGGGTCCGCACAGGCTCAGGATTGGTGTGCCTCCAGGCTTGGAGGGCTTGCCCTGTGTTGATTGGTCAACTGGTTGTTATGGCCCAAAGGCCCTCCCAGGGTGATTGCTATGCTCTGTGCATCATTGCTGTGTGCTTGTCAGTAAAGCACACCCAGAGCTATAAAGCATACCACCACCAGCTAATCTCTGATTGGTTCCTTGCCACAAAGCAGGCACCTAACCTCTAGTGACCAAGGCAAGGTCAGAAAAGCATGTGTCCAGCTGTTATGGCTGCCGAAATGGGGAGCTGGTCCCTTCAGAAACAAGAGACTGGAAGAGGGAAAAAGAAAAAGGAAGTGAGTGGGAAGGTTCTATTTAACCAAATTGATTTTTCTAACATACACTGTAATCAATCTCAACGAAAAGAAATTATATACAATAGTAAGAGTGATGACACAATTAAATTTATAAAATGATTAGCATTTTAGAGAGCATGGTCTTTTCACTCCCCTAAGAAGAGACTGAATGTCAATCAAGATAGATAACTCATTCTTTTTATTTCTTTCTCCTTTCTCCCTTCCTTCCTTCCTTCCTTTCTTTCTTTCTTTCTTTCTTTCTTTCTTTCTTTCTTTCTTGCAAAAGAACAAATGTAAAAATCCGAGGATTACCAATCCCAAGTCACACCGACTAGTAGGTAAGATTAAGAAGCTAGGCTGGTGTTTCCTGTCGACATTAGAACAGTGCTGCTTGTGTGGGGTGTGTTTGTGTTAGATTTTTTTAAAAAGTGAAACTTGAGTTGAATCTTCGATAAACAGAAAATGTACTAAACCCAAAAAGTAGAATGAAGGAATTCCTACCAGAGAAAACTGTATGGTCGCAAAGAAAACAATTTGGAGGAAATGTGCCAGATACAAACAAAATGAGAAATTTAAAGATGTCAATTTACTTGTGAGGAAGAAAAGGACAGGAAGGTTGCTGCTTGTTTCGGGATATTTTCTATTTGGCCTTCCAATAGTTCCTCCCAACTTTTCTAGCCCCACAACTTCTGACCAGTACAACACTTTCTAGCTCATAGCCCTCTGGCTTCGGGCAAAAGAGCAGTTGGGTGTTTAATCAAGATTCTGCTTGTCTCTGCCTAAAATGGCTTGACCATCTGGGCCAAAGCACCTCATGAATAATGTGCCAAGTGAACCAAAAAGTGGAGACTTCCAAAGGACATTACACCCCTTCAGAACTGAGCAGTTAACCCAAGGAAGAAAATGCACATGATCATATTCAAAAATAATGGAAACAAGTTGTCAATGGTATTTCTAAGAGTCAATCCTGGATAATGAGTGATTGGGTAAAGAATAACAATATTGTGGGGGAAATATCAACAAACACATGTTGCTCATCCCCATTTGGGGAGGATAGTTATAAAAAGGTGTGTGTGCTGCACTTAGGTCCAATATGAACGTTTTACATTTCAAATGTTGTTGTTACTGATTTTATGTGCATTAAGATAAGGTTATCCTTTCTCCAAAATGGTTGGAAGCAGAAATGTTTGTAGTTTAGATTTTTTAAAAAAAGAAAATTGAAACACTTAACTATACATAATGAGATAGTTTGGGAATGGGGCTCAAATCTAATGAGCAAATATGTTTGTTTCATATGAATTTTCTGAGCACAGTCTAAAATTTTGTACATTTTCTTGTGTCTATGTGCCTGTGTCTGTATCTTTGTCTGTGTTTGTATGCGTCAACATGTTTCAAAGGAGGACAGAAGAGGCTCCATCGAATCTGCTGGAGCTGCAGATGTTGAGCTTCCTGCTGTGGGTACTGGGATCAGAACTCAGGAAGCACTGAGAAGTGAAATTAACACTCTTAACCACTGAGCCAACTCTCCATCCTGTAGAGAACCATGAAACAAGTTTATGGTGTGCAACTTTCTACTTTTCATGTAATATCTGTACCCAAGAATGCTCAGATTTTGGAGAATTGGGGATTTCTACTTTTTAAATGACGAATGTTCATCTTGAATGCTTAATCAGGCAAAAGTATTAAGTACTATTTACTGTATTCAAACCAAAGAAATCTGTCTAGAATTTTTTTTATTAACCTAAATATTGACATGATCATCTTCCTTCAAAGAATGGACCTTTAGTTTCTGAATTCTGCTGTGAAGTGATTCTCAATTCAGGCAGTCACAGAACAAATTCTTTCCATTCGCTATTGTGGAGCCGTGAGTATGTCTGGCTGCAGAAAAGGCTCATTTCCAGAGGCTGAACCTTAATAAAATCAGTGAAATCAATGCCATCCTCCCTCAACATATCTGATAGCTGACTAGAGATGAGCTGACTGGCCATGGTCCTGTGATTGACTCTTTAGGGTTTGCTGAAAGGACAGACTTAGGTAGCCAGGCGAGGGAACAGGTATGGTCAAAGCCTGAAGGTCTGAGAAGTTAACCTGGCTCAGGAGGGTGTGAATTTCAGGCACCTCAGGTAGAGTGTGACTCTAAAATATCGTATCCATGAGCTGGTGGGGATTCTTCTGTTCAGTCTAGATGGAAATCTCAAATACACAAGAAGAGCTTCCTTGGTGCTGACCCATCTGGGCCCTCAAGTTCCAAGGACTTCAAAAACAAGGCTGCACATAATCTTAAATAGCCATAACCAGGCAACATTTCCAGTGAAAGAAAATTAATGCATTCTTTTTTCATTTCTTCATATGAATAACATTGTTGGCTTCGGGAGAATATCCTTCTCCAACCTCCAACAATTAATTGGAACCCTAATTTATTTATGAAAACAATATATAAAAAGAGCAAACAATGAAGATTCCTAAACAAAAGGAGCTCAATCCAACAGACATGTAGAAGTTATTCTTTGTCTCTCTGGCAAGCTTATGTTCTGTGGGTCTTTCAAAAAGTTACCCAAATGCCAGCATAAGTTATTTAAGAATAAAGGTCACAATATATTAATAATACTGGCTGCTAAAAAGGAAAATGGTTGAATCCCAAAGTTTCATTCCCCGTTTATG